CCCCGCTCAATGTCGATACAATGCTCTCGAGAATGAATGGGACCTGTTTGAAGAATTTGCACTGGAAGTCAAGTCGAAGAATGGTCAGGATTATGCGGGCTATGAGCATTCAGACAGTGAGGATGATGGCTTTGATCCTTTTGAAGGCTACGAGCACCTTTATGTCAGTGAAGACCAGAACGCTCTCCTGGTGCCTCCCCCGCCTCTCCTGAACCTGATGAAGTAGCAGTACCCATGGATGCTGAAACCAACCTCCTGGTTTCCCTCCGCCTTATGTACGGATTCAACCCATCCCCTACTGCTCAAACACCCCACCCTCAAGCACCCAACCTCCGGAGTTGGTCAGATGTCCTGGGTGTCATCGGGACAAAATCAGAACCTGATGTCTCAGACCGAGACAAGGTTCTAATTCGCGAGTTCATTTCATGCCTCATCGACAGCTCTTCGGGATTGCCAGCACCCTCCGACGACCTCAACGCAACATCGGATCAGCCTTTGGCAACATCCTTTGCGCTCGACACTGTGGAACGCATCAGTGAGGACCTATACGTGTTCAAGCTACCTCCTTCCCCCTCTTGCAAATGGGTCATCGGTGTTGATCGCCCCACGACTGTTCTTTACATCTGTCGACTGGTCGCCTCCGCTCCGAACACGCATACGGTGCTGACAATCGCCTACCACCTACTTGAGCACCACATACCCTTCCGCACCCTCCTTCTGCAGGCCTCCTCGGAGCCCGAACAGCTCAATCTCCCATACGCAGACAACGCCAACCGTTTTAACAAGCACCAATTCACGACAGCAGACTTCGACAGTGCTATGCTCGAGTGCCGCGCGCTGCTGGGCCGCCCGCAAGGGCGAGCTGCAATACTTCGCGGTGGCATTGTAGGGAGGATTGCAAGGGAATTCGGTAGTAAGGAGTCTGGGTTGCAAGGACCGTCCATCGAGGTCACAGTGCATCATTCGGGGTACTTTGTCCCGTCTAAACACGACAGGTATTTCTACTGGGATGACGACCTCACTGGTGAGGAGATTGCATGTTTGTGTGGGACATACTGCCTCTATACAGGTAAGGTCTGTCTTCCGTGAGTGTCTTCAATAGTGAATTGATTCCTCATATACAGGGCGTGGCGAGCAGACAACAACGGTCTCGTGGTTCCCTCCTCCGGACGTTTGGGACAAGCAGGGTTATGGCTGGCCAGGATGGACGGAAACTAACGAGGAGTTTTTCCAGCAGTGGATAGCAGACATTCGCAAGGGCAATGCCAAACCCCTGTCGCGTCAAAACTGGTGGCGCAAGGTTCGTAGCATCAAGAACACGAGGTCGATGCTTAAGAACAACAGGGAACGGGCAAAGGCATACGTCGAGTTGAACATTCATGCTATGTAGCTTTCATCTTGATTTCTTGGACACTG